TCTCTAACCATTATTTATAATTACTGTTATTTTATTGAATATAGTAAAAGAAAAAAAAATTGATAAATGTGACTCACTTTTTATAAAACCTTTACATATTATCTTCAATAAAGATCATTCATTAATGACAATGATGACGACAACGATGTTGTTGTTGATGATGACGATGAGGACGATGATTATCTTTGGACTCAAATCTACTATAATCACCACCTTTATTACTCATTTCAAGAGTGTTTATTATAATTACTACTAGGAATATAAATACTACTCAATTATATATATATTATTATTATTATCTTATTGTAGTTATCCATTAATCCAGTTAAACACCAAAAGTATAATGTTTATTTATTAAATAAGTTAAGATTATTCACTCTATATATTTAGATAAGTTACAAATCAATATCTGTCTCCCTCTCTCTCTCTCTCCCTCCCTCCCCCCTCTGTCTCTGTGCCTCTAATATCAATTCCGGATGTGTACTATCTTTAAAGTTATATTATTTACTCCTATAATTAGAATTCATGTGAGAATATATCAGTTCTAATTTATATTATTGGTGTTTATCTGAATCTCTATTGGGTACTCAACGGAAATTCAATAATTAACATTTTAAATGGATGTACAAAATATCAACTAAATTAATAAACAATTATTGTAAACAATTAAAGAAAAAACTCCAGAGAAATTCCTTCCCTCCTTTATTTGTTTTTAAAAGAAACAACAACAATAACATACGGTCTTATAATTCAATTAGTTTCAGTTTCAAACATTACTTACTTACTTACTTACTTAGTTAGTTACTTACTTACTTACTTACACCTGTTACTCCCAATGGAGCATAGGTCGCCGACCAGTATTCAGTTCTAAACAACTAGATAATAATTTAATAGTTGAGTTCATCAATTAATTAAAGCTACATTACCATGGATACTGTAAAAACACTAGATAGTGGTTTCATCCTAGTGTGGAACTCTTCAACAGTTCTTATAAAAAGGTTTATTATGAGATAGTAACTTATTGAAGATAATAGTGAATAATGGCTCAATTTAGTGAATTAGTTGAAGTTAGACATTCACACTATTAGATACTGGCCAATTCGGTAGTCTACAAGTTAAATGATCGCACACAAGACCGATAGGTTCTGGGTTCGTATCCTACAGGATGGGATAGGGGATACTTACTTTTGAAGATTCCCACACTAGGACGAAATGATCATTCATTGCTTCTAGGTTGTCCATAGTGATCTAGCTTCAATGGATTCATAAATTCAACTATTAAAATTATATATAATATCCATAAAAACACCCCTACAGTTAACTAGAAAGTTGCTATATCATTGATACATTGTGTTGCCTATAATTTTTACTCAATGAAAAATCATTTTCTATTTATTATTAATTAAATTTTTGACCCAGACTCAATTAATCTTTTAGTTTTGTATATAATTACTAAATAGGTCATAGAGACATCAAATAATATTAACCGGAAATGTTGATTTTGTTATGAATAATAAACGATAATAGTTTATGATATATTTTATGAGTCAGACCTAACAGGATTATATTAACTTAATATACATTATCCCGTTATCAATTAAATAGATTCATAACTGTGGGGATTTTTGTAGATATTATAGTCATTTCATTAGGTGTAATCATGAGTCAATCAAAGCTAGATCACTATAGAAAATCTAGAAGCTACTGAATGACCATTTCATCTTTGTGGGGAAATTCTCAACAGTGAGCATTTAATATCCTACCCTGAGGGATTCGAACCCAAAACCTATCGGTTTTGTGTACAAATATTTAACCTGTAGACCAGTGAATTGACCAGCATCCAATAGTTTGAATGTCCAACTTTAACAAATCTATGAAATTGTGCCATCGTCTAACATTATCTTCAGTGACTAAGGGGTTAAGCGTTCATGCTTGTGACTGATAGATACTGGGTTCAAATCTGGTGAAACGGGATCGTGAATATGCACTACTGAGAAGTCTCACAATAAGATGAAATAGCCATTTAATGTTTCTAGGTTTTTCATGGTGATCTAGTTTCAATTGACTCATGATCTCAACTATTTAAATAGATTCAGTTGAATACACTTAATGATCATATGTTGATTTATGATCAACTATTTGAAAATTTCTTCAGAGTTTAATTATATTAGGCATACACCATCTGACATTGATGTGAATGAAAGTTAAAGTCGTATTATTGCTAACTAGAAATTGAACTACTTAGTGAAAAATTAGAAGCTTGAAGTTTAAGAGTTCACTAAAAAGAATGAAGATCGTAGGCTCAGTCCGTGACCAGATTACAGAGTCTCATCCAAAACAGTAACCATTCGACACTATCTAGTTTTTAGTATTTAGCTTTTTAACATTCAGCTGTTATGGATGTCAATAAGAAAAAGTCCTCTTCTAAGTGGTTGGATGTAATCAAAACAAAGCCCAAGTTGACCTAGGTTCTAATGCCTGCTACTCATCACTAAGAATTATCTGTAACCTGTAAAACCTGTTACACAGTGATGAATTTGAGTCTATTTACTCGAAATTTAGTTGTCTGAAGATTTAATAAACAATTTAATTTACAGTTCTTTATGTTTGTCAAATTTTATTGTGTTCAAATCACAAGAGAGTTATCTGTTTCTTCACGATTGTAAACTGAGTGCATTGTGATATTAAATCAATAATTCTAGTAAGCGAATTACAAAGTGGTAAATTGATTCCCATCATCATCATCATCATCATCATCATCATCATCATCATCATCATCATCATCATCATCATCATCATCATCATCATCATCATCATCATCATCATCATCATCATCATCATCATCATCATCATCATCATCATCATCATCATCATCATCATCATCATCATCATCATCATCATCATCATCATCATCATCATCATCATCATCATCATCATCATCATCATCATCATCATCATCATCATCATCATCATCATCATCATCATCATCATCATCATCATCATCATCATCATCATCATCATCATCATCATCATCATCATCATCATCATCATCATCATCATCATCATCATCATCATCATCATCATCATCATCATCATCATCATCATCATCATCATCATCATCATCATCATCATCATCATCATCATCATCATCAAATACTTGATAATGTGGCAGTAATCACCATTCTATGACTAATTAGGGTGAATGAGTATGTTAAAACATTTGCATAACAATTGAATAAACCTATCTTGGTTGCATTCTAAAATAAATAACTGGTGACAAGATTTTTTAACAGTCACCCAGTTAATATTTAGGTTTTAGTTAGAATTTATGAACTGTCTCTCACTTATTCCATTGTAAGTAGCTAATCTGGTACAACTATTACAATAAACATATAGCATCATTTAAATTCACTTGGTGTTATTTACTTGTATTTTCTCAGGTGGCTATCAGGACTCAGTAGCTAAGTGAATAACGCAATGGCATTTCAAGCGAACGGTACTAGGGTTGAGTCCTAGAGTGAACATCAACTCTCAGGTGGAAGTATATCCAGCTGACTAGTCCCAAATGAGATGAAACGTTCGTCCTGGATTCCACTGTTAGTCACCATCCACCTTTCCTTAGAATGCTTGTGACTTAGAGCAATATCGAGTCATTCTACACAGTATACACATATGCCAATAAGAGACTGATCAATTACAGTGCTGAATATCAATAAGAAGATCCAAGTAAACAATACAGCACTACCATAACACGGCAACCATATAATATATTTAAGTTAAACTCGGTTATATACAATGTGTTAATAATTTCACATAATATTAAACGTATTGTATTGAACGAGAATACAAATGGGTATAACCGGATGTAATTGAACACAAAATTACAGAATCTCGTAGTCAAATTTGAGAACCATATAGTAAATTTTTCATTTGTAACATGTCCATTAAATCTTCTCAGACTTGATTGTTCTCTCGTTTTCATACTAATCATTCTGTGCTCTCATTCTCTTTTCTTCGATCTTCTTAACCTTCTGCCATCAAGCATTTCACTGACTAATGGTGGTAAATACTACTTATATCTGTCAATATCAGTAGCACACAACATAATATCACATTGAATGTATTTGTTATTATTATCGTTATAATTTTGACTGAAAATGTTGTTTTAATCATCTTTGTTCTTTATATTCATGAACTTCATTTATCTTATGTTTCCTAGTACGTTATATCAATAATGATTTTGAAACATGTATTACACAAAGTTTATCGTTATTTTGATTGAGATCATGAATCGACTAATGTTAGACCACTGTTGGAAACCTGGAAGCACTGGATGACCAACTCGTCCTATTGTGGGACTCCTCAGCAGTGCGCATCCATGATCCCACTCACGGGATTCGAACCCATGGCCTTCGGTCTCGCGCGCGAATGCTTAACCTACTGGACCACTGAGCCGGCATCCAATAGTGTTAGTGTCTAACCTCAACCAATCTACGAAATTGCGCGACCATCTTCCACTGTACTGCGGTAGATACCTGTCTTTACCCGAGACGGATTAGCGTTTTTATTGAAGACTAGTAGGTATAGACATTCATCTTATATACTCACAGCAATAACTGCTCATCAACCTGATAAGTATACATGATTTATACACTTGTTTATGAGCATATTGTTTTTCTAAAACAAAATAACTGAACCAATATCAATAATCAGATACTTCGTAGTCTTACTTCACGGACTGATTTAAAATTATTTACTACTGTAAACCAAAAAGAATAATACGGTTATTTAATCTTAGCATGGAAAGCCTCAACAGTGTACATCCATGATCTCAATAAAGACTGAACCTGAGAATTCACGTCTTCAATCAGTGTTTAACTTTTAAACTATTGAACTGAAATCTAATGTCTAACTTCAATCAATCCATGATGGTGTATACGAGTATTGTACTTTATATTCATATTAATAATTGTTTCCATTTGTAATTATACTATATTTAGGTCATTTAGGTATTGCTGGAAGACAATGTAATGCTACGTCAAAAGATGCTGTTAATTCATGTACACGTTTATGTTGTGATCGAGGTTATGATACATTAGAATTGGAACGTGAACAAAAATGTGAATGTAAATTTTTTTGGTGAGTAAAATAAAATAATTTTACATTTTCAAGGTGGTTTATATCTTTTTTAAATCGAATCTTACATAATAAAATGAAACATCCTTAGGTGAAGTGTTCAACTGTCGGATCATGAGTCATTTGAAGCTAGACAACAATGGAAAACCTGGAAGCACTCGACGGACAACTCGTCCTATTGTGGATCTCCTCAACAGTGAGCATCCACAATACCACCTCACGAGATTTCAACCCAATATCTATCGATCTCGCACACGAACACTTAACCTCTACACCACTGAGTTGACCGGCATTCAATGGTGTTAATGTCTAACTTGAACTAATCCACGAAATTGAGTAACACATCCATCATTATCTCACAACAAACACGATTGAACTCTAATGATCACTGCTTCTCACTAGAACTTCAGGAAATACCTTTTGAAGCCAATCACCAGTGATGCCGGCTCAGTAACCTAGAGGTTAAGTGTTCGCGCTCGAAGCCGACATATCCTGGTTTTGAATTTCGCAATTTGTGATCGTGGATATACATTGATGAGGAGTCCCACGCTATAACGAAACGGTCATCCAGTGCTTCCAAGTTTTCCATGTTGTGTTTTTTGTTCAAAAAATAATATAATCTGTCAGAAATTCAAATATACAAGTGAAAATTAATTCCTATGTGGATCAGATATATGCATATTTAAATATATACAATAGAAATGGTTACCAGTTTAACGGTTGTGGAGATTATTAAGTTTTTGCTTGAAACGATGAACCAATTGATGTTAGATCACCATTGAAAACCTTGGAAGCACTAAACAGCTGTCTCGTCCTCTTGTGTGACTCTTCAACGGTGCGCATCTACGATCCCGCAAGTGGGATTCGAACCCAAGACCTTCGCGATTGCTTAACCTCTAGATAACTGAGCCGGCATTGAATAGTGTCAATGTTTGACTTTAAACAATCCACGAAGTTGCGCAACCATCTTCCATTGTACTGAGGTAGATACCTGTCTCTACCCGACATGGATTAGCTCCACTGGTCATGTCTCCGAGACTTCCGTTACGAAGCTAGTCACTAGTGAGCACATGGCTGTCCAGTGCTTCCAGGTATTCAGTGGTGGTCTAACATCAGTAAGTTCATGATCTCAATCAAAAAGAAATGGTTACCGTTTAAATTGAACTCATTATCTTATATAAGAAGAAGAATAAAAACAGTTAAGTTTTATCATTCCATTTAATTGTTTATCTATTATGTTTACTTCAAAGAACAATGTACAGATTTTGATATTATTGTGTTATCACGTGTAATTAGGCTGTCTGAAATGTATATCGGTTTCTTCAGTTTACTTTCATTAATCATGGATATTCTTTAAATTTTTGACCAATCCGATATGTAGTGAGAGTATATATACCTCTGTGATGCTTTATTAGAACAAATGAATTGAGATAATTATGTTTACAAATCATGCATAAATATAAATGAACTGATTGTTGCAGACAAGGATAGGTGATTGACGACTTTATTTAATTGAAACAATTCATTTACTCACAACAGACAATCTGTTGTATCCTAGTGAAGATTATGTTGTTGGGTACTTTCTGAGAACTCTCTATAGACATATATTATACATATATTCTTATTGTATAACTATTCAATAACTAGATTATGTATATTCATATTCCTCTTATTATATGCTTCAATTTGATGTATAGACTATTATGATACGATTTACTGTTCTTAAGTTATGTTCAGTTTATTGATTACAATCACTCAGGATTCGAACCTGGGTTAGCGCGGCCACAACGCAATGTCCTAACCACTAGATCACAGCGACGACGAGTCTCAGCCCCCAAATGTCCTGGTACGGCTGAGAGTGGGGAGAATCCTCTCTCCCTCTCCAAATGATCTCACATGGGCACGCGTATATAGCCTCTGCCAGGGAAGTCCTACTCACTGCATTCTCGTGCCACAGGTGTTGTATACGAAAATGAGAGGACGAAAAGCGAATTTCCGGCGCTTTAACCGGATCCCAAACCAATGGTGCACATGGGCTCCAGTATCCTGAGGGAACAAATGGCGTATGAACCAATCGTTGGTCACCGGCTACCATGGGACTGCATCTCCTTACGATGCTCCACTGCCTTGTGGGTCAGACCTTTAGGTCAAAGGCTCGGGGTTTGGGCACCTGGGCAGTACCACAGCCCTCATATATACCAAATGAGATTTGTGTGGCGCATATGTATTTGGTGCCTCTTTGTACCAATATTTATGTGTTAAAATTAATAATAAATACAATCTCTCAGCTTCACAGCTACTTTATGGCTTGATCTTGTATAAATGTCATTTCCTATTTTATGGTGTTATGTGATCTATTTGGCTAGTATGTAAACCAAGTATGTTTGAAATAAGTGATTTGTATAGTAGAAGGTGGTATTGGTGTTCTGAACTCAACTGGAATTGCTAGACAATTAAAAACGACCAATAATGACGCTAAACTGTTCATATCGGTTGAACGTCATCGGTATGATAGAGCATTAAGATTGACTAAGTCATATTTTGATTAGGGTATAAATCACATGATAACTAGTTAGGCTTAAAGTCACAACAGTAAGAATAATAAATACAATGAAATCTTTCAATAGATCTTTTAATAGATCCATTATTTGTGTTTCTATTTCATAATAATAAGAAAAACAAAAGAGAATTGTTTTCTTTTTATCAATTCAAAAGAAATAAACATACAAAAAAGTGGTCATTTTCTAGTATAAACAAAGTTGTCCAGAAAAATATGGTCTCACATAAAACTTAAAAGACAACAACAACAATAACAACAACTAATGATTCCTTAAATCAATGTTTGATGTATATGTAGGTTGTCTAGAATTCGTCCATGATCCCGCCACCCCCTGCGAGATTCGAATGAACTGCTGAGGAGTCCAAAATTAGGATGAAACGGCCGTCCAGTGCTTCCAGGTTTTCCATGGTGGTCTAGCTTCAATTGACTCGTGATTTCAAATATTGGAATAACTAAAACCTCCACAAAACCCTTTCTGAGTAAAGATTGCATCAAAAAAATGGATTCAAGAATAAATAACAAAAGAGGTTACTTACTAATCAAGAGGAAAGGAAGAACATAGTTTATGGGTCAGCTAATAGGTCCGATTGACAGATATGAAGAAAAGAGACAAATACAAAGGTCATAATGATAGACTGAATAATAGTCGCGAAAACTAGTATAGTTGAAATCATGAGTCAATTAAAGCTAGACCACCATGGAGAACCTGGAAGCACTGAACGGCCGTCTCGTTCTAGTATGAGACTCGTCAGCGGTGTGCATCCACGGTTCTGTCCCCCACGAAATTCGGACCCAGGACCTATCGGTCTCGCGCTCGAGCGCTTCGATGGTGGTCTAACTTTAATTGATTCATGATTTCGACTACTGAAATTACTAAAACCTCCAAAAAACACCTGATAAAAATAGTATAAGGTAATAACAATAATAATAATAATAATAAGCGATTAGAGTTTAAAATGCAAAACAGTAATTAAAAGAATTCGATAATCATCGAAGAAAAGTGCGGAAAAACAAGAAAAAAAAAACAACACCATACCCATTAAGGGAATTAGGGATAAGGAAGGATTAGAGGTTGAACAAATCATTTCTGCACGCAAAGTTCAGGCTCGAGTTAATGGATTGCCGATGCTTCAGCAGTACATAAAATATTGATTCGACCCCCCTCCCTCGGCTTGATTCAGCTTAAGTAAATGATTTCATCAAAAAGAAAATGTTCTTCTCTAAATTACATTTTTATTATTTATCTATTGTATTTAATCATTTCAGGTGCTGTGAAGTTCGATGTAATATATGCCGTGATAGAACAACTTTACATTATTGTAAACACTGAAGAAGAAGAAGAAGAAGAAGAAGAAGAAGAAGGAAAGAAAGAAGAAGAAGAAGACAACAAAGATGAAGAAGGCAATTATTAGAATATACAGTCTTGAATAATTCACATTATCTAATTAGTAAAACAATAATCATTGTGTTATATTTGACTGTTTTGTTTATCTAATATTCATTATTTAACTAAAACATATTCTATTATTATTAATATTATTATTATTATTATTAAATTTACATTTAAATGATGATTTGATCTATAGTGAGAGATAGTATAGAATGGAGATAGAGAAATAGTATCCAAGTCATTGTAAACATGATTATTATTACTTCATTATTAATTCTGATTACTTGTTATCTTATCATAATATACAGTTGAGTTCTACAATTGATGTAATTGAAGAAGTTGAACAGTATTTGAAGTTCCATGGTTGTTATCTTCTTTTAAAAGGTTTACTTTATTGTTGTTATCGGTGCTGCTGTCGTTGTTGTTGCGGTGGTGGTGGTTGTTTTTTGATAGTATTCTTTGCTAAATTGATTACCATTGAAAATTCAATGATAAGCAATATCTTGTGTATAAACAATATACATGTTCTTTTTTCATAATACAAGTTATTATTTCACATGAAATTTGAATAAACTACTTATTTACAAATATGTTTTTGAATGTGTATTTTTATGTGGTCTAGCTTTAATTGACTCATGATCCTTCTGATACTAATCAGCATATCATCACTAGTGACTCGTTTCAAGTGAAGTAGTGATAAGTGAATTTCAATCAGGTCTGTTGTGAGATAGTAACTCACTGAACATAATGCTGGATGTGTGGTTCAATTTCGTGGATTTGTTGAAGTTAAACATTAACACCGTTGGATGCCGGTTGGCTCAGTGGTGTAGAGGTTAAACGTTCGTGCGCGAGACTGATAGATGTTGAGTTTGGATCTCATGAGGTAGTATCGTGAATGCTCACTGTTGAGAAGTTTTACAATTAGACGAGTCGGCCGTTGAGTGGACAGCTGATTCGTCCAAGTATGGGATTTCTCAGTAATCCGCGTCCACAATGTTGCTCGTGGGATTCGAACCTTTGATTTTCGGCCTCGCGCGCGAACGCTTAAACTTTAGACCATTGAACCGGAGTCCAACGGTGACAATGTTTAACCAATCCACGATATTGCGCATCCATCTTTCATTATCTCTGATGGGTAACTGTTAAGGTCGAAGACCATGAGTTCGAGTCTGACGTGAGGAATTGTGGATGCACACTTCTAAGGAATTCCATACTATGACAAAACGGCCGTCCAGTGATTTCAAGTTTTTGATAGTGGTCTAACATTGGTGGGTTCATGATCTCAATTAAAGTGTATATGGACTAGTTTTTTTAAATATGTCATACTAGAAGAACAAATTGACACTTATCAATGTCAGAATATTTTGTGGATGTTAAATTAATTTTTAATAGTTGAGATCATGAACCGATTGCAGCTAAATCACCATGGAAAACCTGGAAGCAATGGACGACTGTTTCGTCCTATTGTATGACTACTCAGCAGAGCTCATCCACAACCCCACCTCTCGAGATTCGAACCCAATACATATCGGTCTCGCGCTGACTAAAATGTCCAGTCAACCAATTTTTAGTTATCATATGAGAAAAATTGTCTGGTTTACAAATAAAGGCAGTAATACAATTAATATTATACTGGAAAGTATGTATTTATGGATTATGATTACCTTACTGATTGTAAGACAGTTGAAAAAGTCGTTCGAAGTAAAGACCGGTGTCAAGCAAGGTTGCATACTCTCACCCTTTCTCTTTCTCCTGGTGATCGACTGCATCATGAAGATGTCAACATCTGAAGGGAAGCACGAAATACAGTAGACATCTAGAATGCAGTTGAATGATCTAGACTTCACTGATAATCTGGCTCTTCTATCGCATATGCAACAACAAATGCAGGAGAAGACAACCAGTGTAGCTGCAACCTCAGCAGCAATAGGTCTCAATATACACAAAGGGAAAAGCAAGATTCTCCGATACAACACAGCATGCAACAATCCAATCACAATTGATGGAGAAGATTTGAAAGATGTAAAAACCTTTACATATTTGGGCAGTATCATCGATGAACACGGTGGATCTGATGTAGATGTGAAAGCGCGGATCAGCAAAACAAGAGCAGCATATTCACAACTGAAGAACATCTGGAAATCAAAACAAATGTCAAGACAGTTCTACTGTATGTGACGGAAACCTGGAAAACTACGAAAGCAAACATCCAGAAAATACATGTGTTTAATAAGAGTTGTTTACGCAAAATACTCCGTTGGCCAGACACTATTAGCAACAACCTACTATGGGACAGAACAAATCAGATCCCAGTGGAGGAAGAAACCAGAAAGAAGCGCTGGAAGTGGATAGAACACACATTGAGGAAAGCACACAAATGCCACACCAGACAAGCCTTCAAATGGAATCCCCAAGGTCAAAGAAGGAAAGAAAGACCAAAGAACACATTACGCCGGGAAATGGAGAATAAATGCATGATCATAATTTCATTTCCACAGTAAGTTGCTCAAATATATTATTTTGAGATAGTGAAGAAGATTTGTAACTGAGATAGATGATTTTAATGGAGTTCTGTTCTTTAAACTGAATGGTTTAGTTGTAGAGTATTCATCATTCTTTAGAATGATATTTGTGCTGATAAATTCTCAGCACTAAGTATTTCAACAAGTTTCATTTTGTTGTTAGTGATCGTCAACTACTTACTTACTTACTTACTTACTTACACCTGTTACTCTCACGGGACAATAGATCGACAACCAGCATTCTCCAATCCAATCTGTGCTGAGAATTTCTTTCTACTTCATTCATCGCATGTCTGTCTTCATTTCTCGATGTGATTTGTTCTTTGATCTTGCGCTTCTGCTTTGTCCTTGAGGATTCCAAGTGAGAGTTTGTCTTTTGACTCAACTGAGTGCTTTCTTCAATATGTGTCTTATCCACTTCCAGCGCCTCTTCCTGATTTCTTCTTCCACTGGAGTCTGATTTGTTCTCTCCTATTGTAGGTTGTTGTTGATAGAGTCCGGTCAACGAATCCGAAGTATTTTACGTAGACAACTGTTAATAAACACTTGTATCTTGTAGATGATAGCTTTCATAGTTCATTGTTTAACCTGTTTTTTTTTCTTTTCTACTTTGTTTATTCTAAACTTTACAGTTTATCTTCTGACAGAAATCATTTGTGTGTGTGTATGTGTGTGTTTCTTTTTACATTCATCCCTGTGTTTGTTTTCATGAGAATAAACAGTAATTTTTGACAATTTCCCATTTTGACATTCAGTTACTCATTTTTTTTTTCTTTTTAAAAAATTTAAGTAATACTCTTCACTTCTGTTTAACATTCCTCGACCGTCAAAGACAAAACTGTTATGGACAAAAAAAAACACATAGATGAGTTCATGTAGGCAATGTAGTTTTCAAATGAGACGTCGAGGAATAGTGAGGGAATAATGACAAGTAAAACAACAACAACAACAAAAAAGTGAGAATGAATAAATGAATGAATGACCAGTGATAAATATCCACTCAGACAAGTTAATTTTTATCCTCATACTTATGATTCATTCATATTTCCAAAGGATAGAAATCATTTTACTGAATATTCTTAATAAGCATGTTTATAATAGTTGAGGTTGGTTGTCTTTGTTTAAGATGAATGATTATTTATTCGAATAGTTGAAATCATGAGTCAATTGAAGCAAGACAACTATGAAAAACCTGGAAGCACTAAACGGTCGTTTCGTCCTTGTATGAGACTCCTTCGTAGCAGTGCGCATCCACGATCCGGCCCCCCCCCTCGACAGGTTCGAACCCAGGATTATTTATTTTTCCTATAATATGTAAATTAACTGGTTAGAATTATCAGTTAGATTAGATTGAGAGTACCGGTGGATGGTCTATGCTCCTCTACGAGGAGTAACAGGCGTAAGTAAGTAAGTTATGTAAATTAACAAGGCACGTACTACAAAGCAACCGATAACATAACCATTGATATATATATATATATATATATATATATATATATATATATATATATATATATATGCAGCTGACATTAGCTTTCTCGAGAACACTATGTCATGGAACTCCAAACACAATGTGATCAAAATACATTCACCATGATTTGAATAATCATGATAATGAAAGTAATTTCATGTTTCAATTCATTTGATGTTGTTTATTTGAATGTTCTTCATTATTGTTTAGGACTGCAATTGATCAGTCTATTATTGGCATATGTGCATACTGTGTGTATTGCTTCAATTTACAAGCATTATAAGCAAAGATGAATAGTGGATAGCAGTTGAATTCAGGACTCCATTTTTCATCCTATTTGGGTCTCTTCAACTGGATGTACCTGAATCTCAAAGTTGATGTTCTTTTTAGATCTTAAACCCAATATCATTCTCTTGAAACGTCATTGAGTTATCCACTTAGCTATTGAGTCCTGTTAACCACTTGCTTGTGCAATTTCATATTTCTTTTTAAAAAAGAATCGTTATTTAGAACTAAGTATATTCAAGCTATATCAAGTTTTAACATGTATCCAAATTAAGTGACTTGTTCAAATTCTGTTTTCTTTCATGTTAAACATTCATTAAACAGCAAATGTATCAGTGAAGTATAAGTATGCTATGTGGCAAAATTGGGACTAAGTTCCCATTCCAAAATAATGTCATCTATCTTGTGTATGTTTCTATTTATCAAAAACATCTAAAAAGATTATTTGGAAACAAACCAGATAGGAGAAAGCAGAAAACAATTCAATTACAGAAAGATTTGGCCTACATAATATAATAATACATATTGACGGGACAAAAATGATCATAGTGACAAAGAATGACAATGAACTCTGGTACGAATTACACTGTTATACGTATATAAGGAAAGAAACAAAACAACGTTCCTACTATTTTCGTCCTATTCAGTACTGTTTATATATGTTTTCCAACCAGTGCTACTGT